GCCGGGGGAATGGCTGCAGGTGGCCTGGGGAAGAAATGTCTGTGTGTTTGCGTCGAAGCGGGGCAGGGAGACAAGACTGGGGAGCGCTGGATAGTCCCGATGTGCACTGTCAGCGTGGCCTGTCCCGCAGTGTCACCCTGCTCGGTTTTCCTGCAGGACAGAGAGGGATGCCTCCAACTGGTCCACGGAGCGGCTGAAAGCTCTCCTCCTGCCTGTCAGGGTGGAGGGTGAGGAAGGGGCATGTGAGGTGACAGAAGTGAGCAAACTGGATGGAGAGGCCTCCATTAACAACCGCAAAGGGAAACTTATCTTCTTCTATGAGTGGGCTATCAAGCTGGCGTGGACTGGTGAGTGATACGCACCCCTTCTGTTTCAAGGTCAGATTCGTGTATAATATCAAAGATACACATCTCATTTGGGAAATAATAATAAAGGGAAGTGTCGTATTTGGATACAATACAAGTTTGCTTTGACAACAACGAGAGTAAGAAAGGTTGAATCTGAACAATATAATTATAATTGCAGGCACCTCAAAGACAGGAGTGAAGTACAAAGGTTATGTGGAGATTCCTAATCTCTCAGATGAAAACGACATCGATGAAGTTGAGGTAAGCAAAGCTGGATGTATGGACTATTCTAACAGGAATATTCACAGCATTAATATTTTGTTTCTTGTTACCTTTCTTAGAACATTTGTGTAGAATTCTTTACTGTTAGAGGCTGCTTAAGTTAACAGAATCAAAAAATGTTTTGGGTTGAATGAGATCTTTAAAGGTCATCTATTACCAACCTGTCAGCCATGAGCAGGGACATCTGTCACTAGAGCAGGTTACTCAGAGCTCCATCCAACCTTGCCTTGAACACCTCCAGGGATGGAGCATCCACAGATTCTATGGACAACCTGTTCCAGTGCCTCACCACCCTTAAAGAATTTCCTTCTAACTTTTAATCTAAATCTACCCTCTTTCAGCTTAAAACCGTTATCTTTCATTCTGTCACTGCACGCCCTGATAAAGGGTCGCTCCCCCGTCATGTTGTACCTTTATCAAATGAATTCCTGTCTCCTGGATGCAGAGGGCTCTGTAGCACAAGGAGGTATTCAGGCACACAGGTACAGCACTGTAGGCTGAGAGAGGTGAGGTGATGGATGAATAAAACTGCAGAGCTGTTTATGAAAGTTTAGCCAGTCTGTGATGTTGAATTGAGTAATAGAAGAGCTGTGAACATATGTCCTTGTTAATCAGTGCTTGTATTCATTGTTCAGATCCTTGTCAGCCTTGCTAAAGATGAGCCTGAGACTAACTTGAAGACCCTGATGAAGCAAGAGGGTGCAAAGAAAATTAGGGATGCAATGAAAACTTACATCAGCACTCTGAAAACGGGTATGTTACTGAGAGGGAGAAGTGTTATGGGAACCCATATGGACTAATTCTAAAGAAGAGATGGGAGTAAAGAGATGCTCTCTCCATCTCAACAGAAAGGTGTCAGAGCAATAACAGTAACTTTGGGAAGAAGCATTTCTGGCTCTAGACAGCATAGCTCAGCTCAGAAAGATTGGTTCTGGTGGTAATACAGTAATGAACAGTAATTTTATGTTTTAAAACTGAGAATGCCCTTCATATCCTGAACCTAGGGAGAAAATGAAAGCCAGTAAAATGTGTTGGTCACCCCAGTGACGTAGTCACTGCCTGTGGCACAGTCTGGCCTTCAGCTGGCTTACTGCCTTGGAAAGTGATATCTTCTCCAGTTTGTAGTTTGTTTTGGGTTTTTCTTTTCCCTCTTGCCACAGTGGTAAAGACATCTAGTGTTACTTGGGTTTTAGAGTAACTGATGTCTGAAAATTGCTCTGCAGGTTTTGTTGGTGTCTTTTAATGACCTGTCTCAGCATCTGGATCAATTTTTTTTTTTTTGTTAAATCTGAGTCCAGCAGTTGGAGTTAAATCAATGCACTTTGGTTGTGTTTGGCTTTCCTCTCAAATACAGGCTGGGAATGCTACAGTTGCTTTTTATATCCATTTAGCTATATTACATTATGTGTCCTAGATATGCTGGGTACAAACCACCACTGATTACTGTTTTTCCAGGATTAAATTTCTGTACTCTTGGGTTTTTTTCAGGCACTGTAGTGTTCAGGCTGGGATATGCAGTCACCCAGTGAAAGATAAGAATGCTAATCAGTAAAATCTGTATGATCTTGTGGGCTGCAAGAAATGAGAATAAGTGGGAACTGTATTGCAGGATACAGGTTTATGCACATTTGATACAATTCTGCTTTCTAATGGAATTTGGCTACTCTGAACAGATGAAGAGGAAGAAAAAGGAGCAAAATGTTGTATAATTGGTAAAAGCAGGAGTGACTGAGCTGGAGAAAAAGCAAATGTGATTCTGAACGAGGCTGAAGGTTCTGATGGAGTTACAGAAGTGTTAGTACTGGTGGACAGGGTGCTGGCCAGGCTTGTCTGGCTTTCCATGAACAGTCCTGGCATCTGGTGTCGATAAAGATAAATCAATGAGGGAGTTGGAAGTTACTGTGTTTTACTGCAGTGATGCAAGAAGTGAAAAAGCTTGGTTTGGTGTGTCTAGATCAGCAAGGCAAAAGTTTTTGAGGTGTGATGTGATTGCAATTTATATTAGAGAGTGAGAGAGGAAAAAAGCTACGTAAGTCTAAGGCTAACCAGCCTTAATGTGAGAGCAGCGTGTGGAAGATGCTCTGTCTAGGCGGGGAAGAGGAGGTAAGTTCCTCATTGTTAGTGCAGACAGGTTCTGACAGGGCCTTTGGTGGAGAGTAGCAAGGGAAAGAATTAGTTACTTTTGAAAAGAGGTCTGTTTACTTTTTCTGAACACTGTTTCAAGTTATGGATGCTAGCCAAGAGCAAGGGGAAAACCAGGAAGCCCTTTTTGATTGTGTATTTCAAAGTACACTCAGAAGGTTTACTTGATCTTTAACTGGTTTCATGGGCACATTCCTGTCTTTCCAGAATTCACCCAGGGCATGATTTTGCCCACAGTGAACGGTGAACATATGGAAGCAGCACCTCAGGTGGCTCCTAAAGCAGAAGAGCGCAAGGTAAACAAAACTGCAGACATGCTGTGGGATCAGTGAAGAGAGGCATGCTGTATTAGATTCTGGGACTTACAGCAGCAACCTCTGTTGTGTATAGGATATATACATTCAGCAACTGGCAGTTTCTGGAACGGGTGTGACTGTTTCCATTGGCAGCACATGATGTTTCTTCCAAGCAAAGTGATAAATCTGCTTTTTACGTTTAAGTATGGTTGTATCTTATTGCATCTTTACTAATAGCCTTGGTTTGTCCCCTTGCATATGTGAAGCATTTGTTGATTTTTTCGGTGCAAACAAGTGTGTATGTGTTTGTTTTCCATGTTGTTTTGTCAGACGGCTGCCAGGAGCAGCACTGCCATACCACAGTCCAAATCCATAGGAGTCAAGATCCCTACCTGTAAGATCAGTTTGAAGGACACCTTCTTAACATCTCCTGAGGAGCTCTACCGGGTATTTGTTACTCAGGAGGTAATGCCTGCCTTCTTCTCAGAGCTGTTCTTTGCGTGTAGGAGGCTCTTTCTAATAAGGTTTTTAAGAAGTTCTGTCAGACACTCACAATCCATGAGACTGGAATAAGAAAGCTGTTCTGCAGAGGTGTTGCTGAAAGCTTGTGTGTGCATCTTTTCACACAGCTAACAAGAGGGGAGTAGTGCCAACCAGAAGCAAGTTCCAGACTGCTGTCAGCATCTGTCTGTAGGTGTATCCCTTACTACATGTAGCCAGATCACTTGGGATTTACAATTGTGTGCTTCTGGTTTGTTTTTTCCTTTTAAGGTTAGGTGGTATCAAAAGCATGCTTTGGGAATAGCTTCCACTTTTCTGCACGGCATTACATAGTTTAGGACGAGAGCGCAGCGTTGTATCATTATTTAAACACTGTCTTAGTCTTTTGTTCTTCCTGTTTTGATAAGGAAAATGGAAAAGCAAAGAATATTTTTTCCGAGAATTAGGTTTCATTTAGAAATCAACAAAGTAAATCACCATGTGACTCAGAACACTGCAAAGCACTATGAAAGCTGGAGGTTCTTTTCCTTGGGCAGGTGAAATGCTGCTGTAGTAGCTAAAAACTTGCTTTTCTGGCCAGGGGTTTTGTCTTTTGCTGAAGACCTTACACTGTTGACCCACCTCCTCTTGCAGAACTTTTGTAGCTGGGTGGGAGGCATTAGGCAACAAGTTTTCAGGAAGATAATGTCAAGTAACACAGATCTGCTCCCGAATTATTTTCAGATGGTCCAAGCTTTCACCCACGCACAAGCCACCTTGGAGGCTGATAAAGGAGGCAAGTTTCAGTTGCTGGATGGCAGTGTCACAGGAGAGTTTGTTGACCTAGTAAGTACTAACCAGTTCAGGTGTATCTTGCTCAGAGGCAGCACTGTTATCAGGCTCTAACTTCCCATCAGTTCTGTTATAATGCTTTTTGTTAGCTAACTGTGGGGTTCTACCTGGTGCCCAATAGTTACCTATAATTTCTGTGGCTATTGAAACATTCCTAGTAGTATGGATAAATGCATGGCACTTCAGTCTGGGGAGAAAATGTGACTTCCAGTCATAGATCTCCCCTGTCTTTTTGTGATTTTAGTTGTCAAGGGTTGGAGGAGTGTTAAAGATAGTAACTGACCCTTCTTCTCTTTGACTCAATTGCTACTAAAGTCTTCTGGACAGTCAGGGACTCTGTCCCGGTGTTTGGGGCTGCATGCCTTTCTAGAAGGGGATTGAAAAGAAAAGGACACTTCAAGTCTCTTTCTTGCTGTGTGTGCGTTTCACAAGGGATCTCTAAGACTTCATTCATATCAACACAATTCTAGATGTTTTCCATTAGACTGTAAGATTTCCCAAAATTGCTACTCAATCTTTGTCTTCCTTTTCAAGGTTCCTGAGAAGCAACTTGTTATGAAATGGAGATTTAAATCTTGGCCAGCTGGTAAGTAGTCCAGAAATGGACATGCCTGTCTTTGGGGGATACCAGCCCCATTTGCCACGCTTTATTGTGGCTCCTGATGAGGGAGCACAGGATGTTCTTGGAGCTGCTCCAGTGTTATCCCAGCTTCCTGTCCCACACTATCATGTCTGCCTCTTCAGCCACTGTGTAGAGCAGTGACCAGGTAGGAAGGATGAAGCCGCTGTTTGTGCAGCTGTAGCTGCAGCTGCTTCAAGCCGCAGGGAGAGGGAGCCCTCTGCTAGCTGTGTTTCTAGGGAAGGCCCACAGCTGCTATAAGCAGACCCTCTGGGAAGGACCTCGAAGAGTCTTAAGTGGTGCCCCGTGAAAGGAGAGGCCGTATGTACTGTACCACACACTGCTGACAGACCTGCTTTGCTTCCTCTAGGGCACTTTGCAACCATTACCTTGAACTTCAATGACAAAGGTGGCGAGACAGAGGTGTGCTTGGAAGGCAAGGGCGTTCCTGCCAGTGAGGAAGAAAGAACAAAGCAAGGCTGGCAGCGCTACTACTTCGAGGGCATTAAACAGACATTTGGTTATGGTGCTCGCTTGTTTTAATAGCGGTTGCTGGGAGGCTCTGCCTGAAGACTCTGCCACATGGACTGATAAAATTCTCGCCTGCTCCTTTCTAATCTTGGCCCTGCCGCAGAGTAGAGTTGGATGACAGGTGATGAGGAGGGCCATGGAGCAGCACCACTTTCAGTCCCTCACTGCTTTGTGCATGTCTTGTGCTGCAGGGGATTCTCTTACATGTACATACTTCTATTGCTAAATAAACCTAACTTAAAAAAACACTGTGGAATTTGTGTCCTGGGATTGGGTTGAGTTCAAAGGGTTGGGTGATCAGCTCAGGGAGGGATCTGTCTAGAAAAACACCGATCAATGAGGATTGCTGATGCCAATGTGATTTACTCCTCACTTCTGGGGGAGTACAGAGCATGAGCTTGATGCAGTTTTTAGTCTGAGCAGCTGCTCATCTTCCATCTGCTTTTGATCTGCCGGTAGTAAATGTTTCAAACTCTTCCCATTTTTTAAGGGATTTGTGATCCTGTTCAAGCTGTTCCTCTCCTTTGCATATCCCCTTCAACACAGTCATTTCTTACACTTCCACCAGTCTGCTCTACAGGAACGACAATCATGCAAACCAGTGCTAGGGAAACTCCCACCCACAGAATGGTTCTAGAAGGCTGTGGGGCCCAGGGCCAGCTACTTCCAAGAGCTTCAGGCTGAAGCAGACTGGTTTTTTCAGAAATAAATTCCTGCCTCCATTTAGAGTCTACAGCGTGCAGTACTTCTTGCTCATCATACTTCAGCTATTGCTTTAACTGGTGAGGAAGAAAAAAAATGCTTGTTCTCACCTGTTAATACATTAGTTCATGGAGCTGTCTTCAAAAGCCATAAACTTGTTTATAGGAGGGGTGAAAATCTGACTGATCAGAAGTGTCAACTTGCTTAACCTTAAGGGTGAGAGAAGTGCTTGGTTTTCTTTTTGAGGCATGAGCTTCTCTTGTATACTTTGTTTTTACCTAGTGTTTTCTGCAGAGCTCCTCTAGTAAGCTAGAAGAGAGTGATGTTATTGGGTGAAATTTACTGGTTTGGGGATTTTTCTTGCTTTTTATTCTTTAAAATCTGAATTGTATGTGGTAACTGTTCCCTTCAAGAGAGAAGACAAGAAAAAAACCGAAGTGGTTATTTTAAAAAAGACCCTGAATGGAGACTTGTTGGAGTCTCCTTTTAAACTATAAAGAGCATTCAGCCTGTTCTCACTACTCCAAAGTGCTGAAGTATGACAAAATCATGATAAAGTGTGTACAGACAGACATCAAGAATGCAGCATGAACAAAATTCTGTATTGTGTACTCATCCTTGAGCTGATCTGTGAGAACAAAGGAAGTTGTACAAAGAGGCAGCTGTAGATATGGCAGAGCTTCCCTGTGGCATGCAGGATTGTCTGCCCTAAAGCATGGCTGGCTGGGAGAATGGATGCAGGTGTTTTGCCAGGATTTTTGTGCACAGATGAACCCTGTGCACACCTGGTAGGCTGCGGGGGGCAGGTAACGTTGAAGGAGCACACTGATCCCACTGTACAGCCTCTATGCTTGGTTTTCCACTTGGGAAATCCTGGACAGCAGTGCAGGACACCTTAAACAGCAGGGCTAGCAAGTGAGTTCACAGCCAAAAATTTGGTAAAAAGAGAGCAAAATTATTTAAAAACTGAAAAAAAATGAGCTGGTTCTAGGTCAGCTTGAGGCAAAGGTGACAGCTGAGTTGTGATGTCTGTGCTGTGCTTTGGCAGCTGTGCTGTGGTAGCAGTGCTCGCCTGCTGCAGGCTCTGCTGCCACAGCTGGGCCAGGGCAGCAGAAGGCAGGCCCTGCTAATCACCTGCTGCTGGAAGGTTAGGAAGTGGGACAGGAAGGCAACTGAAGTGGAATTTTAATTGCCTTCCTTTCATCACAAGCATGGTTTACTTCAGGCATCCTGCTGCTACTCTAATAGGGCACGCTTTGGCCTCGGCCAGCAACCCACATGCATGGGGCTCATGGACTCAGGGCTTTTCTCAGAGGCCATTTGAGGGCTCTTCCAGCAAAACTGACTGCCCTGGGTTATGCTGGTGCTTCCCCAGCTGGCTCTCTGCCTTACAGGCTGGAAATCAGCATCCCCAGAGCAGCAGAACAGGCTGTGTGATGTAGCCAGGCCTTGGCTGCCGTTCACACGTGAATCTCTTGGACTGGCCCAGCAGTGAAGGAAGGCTTGTGTTAAGGCTGTGCCAGCTCTAACAGGGCACAGCAACGGCAATTAAGGCCTTACACCACTTCAGACATTGACTTGGTGAAGGAGATCTGAGCCTTAAGTCATGCTAGGGAAGGTCACTGCACTACATCTGCCTACTGCCAGCACACACACTCCTGCAGCTACAGCTGACCTCCAGTGCAGCTGCACGATGCTAATGAGAAACCCCAGACCTCTGCTTTGCTTGGAATTGCTGGAAAACAGTCACAGTTTAGTAGTCCTTCAGCTATTTGGGGAAGGGAGAGTTGTATAAGATTAGGGAGAAAAGCAAGGTTCAGTATACTCTGGCCCAAAAGCTCTTTAAGAATCTGACAGTGAAAAGTCCTGTAAAGTAAAGAAGACAAAGGTTAAAAAAACAGAAAACAGAAGTGAATTTTTAACAGTGATGGAAGTCAGAGGTGGACCCTCACTGACTATGCTGTTATGAGGCACATGGAGATGAGTAAGAAGCAACCATCAAACAATAAACCAAAAGGGGTCTTTGAACCTTTTTAAGACTGTAGGCAATGCTTACATAAGGGAAGGCCTAATAAACCTGTAATGAATCCAGTACATTTCGGTATAGAAGATAATATACTTGGTAACTTAAAAGCAAAAAAATAATTACATTACCACTGGTGTTGTAAAAGACAAGTTTAGGAGACAAGACTAGAATAAAAAATTATCTTGACTAAGTGGAAAAGTGAGGTCAGCAGGACTACAGCTGAAAACCTGCAGTGCGCTGGGGTTTGGGGCTTTTTTCTGGTCTTCTGCTCCAGAGGTGTGCCAGCAGCACAGAAGACCCATGTAACTACACAGTGAGGTGTGTCCCTTCACAGGCCAGAACAGGGGTGTCTGAAAGGTTTATTTCTTCTCTGGAACTACAGTTTTAACTCAAGATCCACAGACCACAACCACACTTTGCTCTTTCCCAGGTTAATACCAGGCATTGCAGTTCAGACCTGCTGCACAGGCTTTGGCTAGGCTCTCCTGACATTATCACTCTCTTTTCTCCTTCCAGAGGAGATCCTTTTGGGCCCAGCTGGGTTTTTGTGTGCTTCCTAAGATGCAAATTCCTGGAGCTAGAGCCCTGAAAAAAAAATCAGGTAATGGGATCTCCATTGCTGTAAACATGTTCCTACAAAATCTGATGTTCATCCCTGAGAGATGGGCTTTCCTCACCCTCCCTGTGCCCCAGCAAAATCTGGGCATGGCTCCTTCTGTGTGCAGACAAACACCATGCACGCTGGGTGCCAGGGGACTGGTCCAGCTCAGCTCCAGTCCAGGCTGGCAGACTGAGACAACTCAACAGCAACCAGTCAGGAAGTTTTGTGCTCAAAGCAGCAGGCAAAAGTGCAGTTTAAGACAGCCACAGACTCACTGTATGATTTCAGGTGACATCTCCAGGCCTTTAGCACCTGCAGAATTAGGGCAGGAATTCTCCTGCTTCCATCCTCTGTGGCTGTGGGATTTCTGTATCCCAGGAGTTTCACAGCAAGGTCCATCATCCAACACAGCAAGGACCTTGTTGCAAAGGACAAAAGCACATTAGGCATGTTATGTACACAGCAGTAACTGCTGCCTGCTCCTCCAGGGAAAGAGTGACTTTCTCTGAGCAGAGTGGATCTCAGCCTGCCACTCCTGGCTTGGGCTCCATGCAACAATGGTTTTGGTGCTGCAGAAGGCCAGCAGGAAGCCCCTAGCATCCTTCACTGAGAGGAGGCACCTGCTCCCCCAGGCAGGGGCCAGCAATGGTGCCAGGCAGCTGTGAAGCAGAGTCCCATGCTAGAGTAGCAGATTAACCCTTGACAGATGTGCAGCCAGCACAAAGCAAAAGGAGAAAGAGAGGACAGGAAACAGCTGGAAACAGCAAGAGCTTGGAAGTGTTTATGATTTACACACTAAATTAACAGCAACAAAAAGTCGTTATCCCTAGAAAGCTTTGCAAACCCCCCTGCTATAATTAGCTGCTGGCTCTGGAGGTGGTTTGCCAAATCAGTTTTTTAGCTGGGATGGTGCTGGGTTTTTCCCCCTGCTATGGTGTGCTGGACCATCAGCCAGTACCCAGCTCTGGCCAGGCTGACCATGGAATAAAACCCAAGGTCAGGGCTGGGGCACAGGCAATGTATTTGCTTCTCAGCACTGACCCTGAGGGTCTTCTTGTAGGAGGTTCCCTGCCCTGAAAGCAGAACTTCACATATCCCATGGGCTCCAGATAGTCTTTCTTACCTTCTTTGCAGCCAGACAAGTTCAAATGCAAACGTTAAGGGAAGGAAGCAAAGCCACCAGGGCCCCAGCTGGGGCTGGGAACCCAAGACAGAGAGTGTTAACATAGCATGATCCCTCTCAACCAAAACAAATAGCAACACATGCTTCAGTCACAACTGAATGACATCAGCATGACATATACATATATAAAGTGCTTTATTGCAGCATCAGATTAAAGAATTCTTCTCTGTGAAATTTTGTAGGAATAAAAGACATTATATATATATTATATATATATAAAAACCCAATAAACTTAAGGAGTGAAAGCTTAGAGATTCATCACTTAAATAGCAGTGGGCTGGACAGAATCTTTGATGGGATAAAAAAATAAACACTTGCTTAATGACGACTCTTCTCATGGTGTTCTGCAGAGCCTCACGGTGAGTAAGGTGCTTGTATGAGGAACAACAGTGCTTGTTTCTCATGCTCCAGTTCATGCCTGTATTGTCCAAAACACAGAGGCAGCAAAGCAGAACAGCTACTTGCCTCTCAACTAGCTTTTGTGGGGATGTCAGGGAAGGGGGGAGTATCAATGCAAGAAATTTTTTTACTTGCCCTTGGACAGGAACTCCAGTTCTTACAGAAATTACAAGGTTTTTTTCTGGGGGTTAGACTGGTTGACATAGCCAGAGTAAAGAGGAGAGTAAAAATCCTGGGTAACGTTCTCACTGTAAGAGCACTTCCATAGAGAGCAGCCAGTCTAACAAACAAATTGGCTGAGCTTTTGCAAGCCTTCTTCCAGAAAGATTGTTTGTAAAAGTCCTGCTTCCATGCTTGGGTCCAATACTGAACACTAGGCACATTCAACAGGAGGTTCTTTAAAGAAGTCTGCACTGATGGTAAATAAACTCCACTGGGAGTTTGGTGAAGTTAATGATGCCATACAGCATGCAAATAGAAATATGCTCTGCTGAATGACTGCAGCTCACAAGCTCATCCTTCCATGGCTTCAGACGCTCATGGCTTCCTTTGCTTCCATGTCTCTTGCTGAGGCTCCCTGGCTCCCAGAACCAAGCCACCAGATCACTGTCACCCCTCCTGACCACCTCTGCATGACCTACCTCTTTGCCAGAAACTAGTGAATGAATGACCATTTGGCCAGGGAACATGCAGTGATCATGGAAATGTTCCAAGGTCTCCATCCATGCTTATCTGGTTCTCTTCCTTCTCACCATTCACAGAACACAGGGCATCTCAGACTGCATGTCTGTTGGGAAATGGATGATGTCTGCCTGTATTTTGATAGAACCCATATCCAGACTCTAGGGATACGAGGGTGTAATAACAGTTGAGTAAGAATAATTCAGCGATAACTTCATTAATACTTCTGTTTTACCAGCTATGAAGTCTTAGGTATGGATGACCAAGGATGCAATATTCTATCAGTGACCAAGGCAAATGGATCAACATACACACAACAGATACAAAGACACTCCCAGAAAGACTCCCCAAAGAGCTTTCAGACCAAGAATATTCACTGAGGCTGGAGAAAGCTCCTGTAAAAAGGACAGACAGTACAGGATGGTCAACTAAGGACCTCTGCAACCAGTTTTTTCATTCAACAGTGCCCTGCAGAAGTACATGAAGTAGATAGCAGCCTTGCATGAAACCTCTAGAGTAGAAATGACTCTATTCTTCTTTATGTGTGCTTGACTTTTATTTCCCCTGATGTATAAAATTTCTTAAATAAAAGCTATAAATTTTCTGCCAGTTTAGCAACTGAATGTCCAGGGACAAAGGTGCTCAGCCTAGTTTCTCTGCAGAAAAGCTTCCAAAATATGCTGGGAGACACTGCCATGGACCTGTGAAAAGCTGAATAAAACCCAGGCAAGATCAAAGTGTCAACAGAGAGCATCACGATCCCTATCTGTGGACACCAGCTATTGACATTATTAGCACGTGTGTCTTCCTCCTCTGGAGCCACACTTGTGAGCCGGGCCTGGAAGCGAGCCCGAGGGGTCCATGGCTCGGTTTGTCTGGGCTGCCTCCATGTGGGAACCTGGGGAGACACAGACTGGAGCAGCTGGGGCCATGGGCAGACTCAGCATGGAGCAGGGCTAGCTTGGCTCAGTGCTTTTTGCTCCTCACCAGCAATGGCATGAGTAGTGGCTGTGAGTGGGAAACACAGGACTTTCTTTTGGGCTGTGTCACAGGTGCTCCTGAGACCCTCTGGGGACTGCCAAGGGGCCAAGGTCTGGGAGAGGGCTAGTGCTGTGACTTGCCCAGATGCTACCACCCTGGTCCTCCAAGAACCACAGCAGAGGGGCTGAAATGCACACAAGGTGGCATCCCCATGCTGACCTCCTCTGAGGTCCACCTATGTGTAGCTTTGGCAGCCAAAACCCTGGTGCCTAGGCAATCTTGCCAAGCAAGCTCAGGCAGCCAGTGCCCCTCCAGCCCACTCCCCCAGACCCATAGATCCATAATCCTTTCCCTGCTCCTTCCCAACCATGCATGCACAAACCCAAGGATGGGGGGCCTGGCTCTGTATGCCTGGCTGGAACAGCCCTGCACTCTCTAGAAGACTTATCCCCAGTTTCAGACATAAACCAGGGCAGGTGTACAGACCAGAGCAGGCAGCCATGCCTGCAGCAGCTCCTCAGGTGTGGTCTGAATCCAGCAGGAGCTGAGCCCTCTTCACCCTGTGCTCAGCTTTCAGGCTGCATTGGAAGGTCATAGAGAACAAAAGCAGACAGGAGCAGCCCCTTGCTCCCTTTATACCTCCCAGCCCCTGCTGCTTTCCACATGCCAGGCCAGGAGCCCTGGGCTGCAGGACTGCCCTGGGTGGAACGGCAGGGCCTGCACCCTAAGAACCTCCAGCACCCTCAGAAATCGGAGGAGACTCCTCTGAGGGCATGAGACAGGTGGCACATCCTCCCCGTTTTGCCTGGCACCGCTGAGGAGCCCACGGGCAGGGCAGGGCTGGCCAGGCTGCACAGGGACTCAGCCAGTGGCGGTGATGGCCCTTTTGAGAGTGGCTGTGCTAGTACTCCTTGGCCTCCTGCAGCTGGGACAGGTACTCCTCCTCGGCGGGGTTGTCAGCACAGCGCTGGCCATTGTTGGGGGGCCGGACGGCATGATAGCGGCTCCAGTCCCCCTTGCAGAGGATCCAGGGCAGCATGTCCACCTTGTAGTGCAGCTCCGGAGAGAACTCGGTGCTGATGAGGTTGGGGACGCCGGCGCCCTTGCCGCGGGTGATGAGGCGGGTGTGCTCGTCGTAGCAGCAGTGCTGGGCAGCCA